CCGGGGGCGGGACGGGGAACGGCTCCTGCCGCCATGGAGGTCCGTGGCATCGTCTTACCCATTTAAGAGTGGCTCCGCTGGCCCTGAGATGTGGACACAGCTGATAGAGTCTTGCCACTGTCCTTTTGAACAGACTTTAATTGAGAGCAAAGTGAAAAATGCAGGTTACATTTTTAGTGTTATCATCAATACATTGCAGGATCAACACCCAAACAGTGATGCATCTAATATCTATACATTTCCTAACTTAGCTGTCAAAGAGCAAATCATGATCAGATCTATATATATATATTTACACAATAATTTCAAGCAACAGTAAATAAACTCCATCCCTTAAAAAACAAAACGCACACACACACACACACACACACACACACACACACACACGACCACCATTAACAATGGATGTCCTCGCACTGGTAAGTCTCACTGTTCATTGCATACACTTGTAGACCCAGTCACTTAAGTGACTTAGGAACAGCCTATCAGTGGAGCTCCTGGGCCAGCCCCTATTTTCTTTGCAGGTCACTTTGATCTCTCACAACTTGAAGCCACATCACCAGCGAGGTCTGCACACCCTAAGGACACCCCACATGATGAAAATGAACGTCCACTTCCTCTGCGTGAGGGGCCATGCGCGTCTTGGAAGGGACATGTGAGTACAACTCAAAGATGTCAAAAACATAAACAAAAACATCTTCAAACGTGGCCTCTTAAGAGCACGGAATTAACTGAACCGCACGGCTCTTAGATTTCTACACAGAGGGACTGGTTAGTTCCGGATCTTTCTCCGGCTGCTGCAAATGCATGAGTTTTGAAAGTGGCCTAGAGGGTCTACATCCTGCCTTCGGGGGAGCGGCGGCCTGACCTCCGGCGTCGGGCGAGACCCGCCTGGTGCCTCGCTCTGATTTATTCCCCGCTGTCGCGGTTAGTAAATGGAAACCATGACAAAGTTTACATTAGCAGACACATACGCATGCCCTGGCCTATAAATATGCCACGACGGAAAACGGTACAAAACTCCATTCCTGGGGAAACGGGCGTAGAGAAGGGAGGTGGGAGACATGGTTGATGATGGTTCTTTACAGTGGAAAACCCAGACCAAACAGTGGAGGGCTTTGAACTGACCGGACCCCGTGAGCCACTTTCTCCAGGGCCCAGGTCACCTGCAGAGCAGGGCCGGCTCCTCCGGGCAAACCCGGCAGGGTCCACAGTGCAGGTCGCTCGTCCCGGAAGCTGGCTGAGACGGTCAACGGACGGCTCCTTCGAGGGCTGGGTGAGGAGCGTGACAGTCAGACGTGCGAGTGGGCCTTACGCCGTTGCCTGGGACTCAGCGCTGTCCAGACAGGACCCCTCAGAGCGCCAGCTGGAGTTTCGTCATGTTCCTCTGGTGCATGTTGTGATGGCGGACCAACTCGTCAGACCGGGCGAACTTCTTCTGACAGCTGGGCCACCGACAGCTGAAGGGCTTCTCACCTGCTGACACAACCGCCCATCAGGGACCCTGGCTGCAGGGGAGGGGCAAGCTCAGCGCCCGTGTCAGAGCGGCACAAGTCACCCGCTCCCGAGTCTTGCCCATCCCTGAGTGGCCAGCGGGGCTCACCTCCCAGCAGCCATGAGCGGCGCGGCCAGAGTGGGGCGCCAAGGGCTGAACAACAAAACTGTCTGTGCGTACCTGGGAAGCGGGCGCAAAGGACGGAGTCGGACAACTCACAGCTAACGAGGGGGAGGCATGTGTCCCCAGGCCTGCTGAGATGTCTGCGCTGTGCCAGTTCCCTGCTTGCTAAGTACGCAATGAGTTTCCCTGGGTGCTGGGGCCTCTACCCAGATGTAATGACCGACCACAGCTATTCCGGGTGGGCTGGGCATTTCTAACTAAACACTGCATGCTATTTGCTTCCCCTTTCTTCAAATGTCAGAGTCTAACCTCTGTTGTACCAGAAATTCCAGCTGGGGCATGGCCTGCCACCAGCCGGGGGCTTCTAAGGCACCCTCGGAAGTGCCCGCCAAGCCTTGCCCTGGGAGACACTGGCTACCGTCTGTCAGATGCCTAGTGCAGGCCCAGTCACGTGCCAGTACCCATGTACACTCGCGGCCTCGTGTTTTCTTACAACGGCCTGCAGGTAGTCGGAGCATCCCCACACTACAGACAAGGCTGCAGCCTGGTGAGGCCCCAGCGGGACTCGGATACGAGTCCGTGTGGTCCTGGCTCTTTCCTGGATCACACCTGCCAGGCCCAGCTGTGACAGGACCACAGGTGTGGCTTTGTCCTGAGGAAGGCTTCAGGTGTAGCCTGGCCCACCTGGGGCATCTTAGAGAACTGCAGGTGGGACAAGCCCTGGGAAAGGCCCCAGATCCGGCGTCCAGGGTTGGACTGGGGACCCGTCAGACAGCACTGCACAGCCTGCTGGTGACACAGGTCGCCCTGCACACACACCAGAGTGCAAAGGGTGACTGCTGCTAACCATGAGCTCAGGAGTGAGTCCAGGGGCTGACAGCAAACGCTTCCTGAGGAGGGGGAGTCAGGTACCCTATCTAGGCTGGGAGCCTCGAGCCTCGACTCTCCCTCTAAGTGGAGCCTGGCAGGCTTCAGTCTGGGGCTGCCCAGGGGTTTCAAGTGTCAGGTCTCTCTTCACCTCCCGCACACTCTTCCTGTGCTCTTCCTGGTCTGGCTCCCATCTCTGCTCCCCCAGGCCTGTGGACAAAGGTCATCCGTGCATGGACAGATGCCAGCCCTCTCCGGCCATCTTCACGCTCTCAGCCTCAGTCCCCAGCGTGGCCGATCTGGCATTCTCCCTGAGCCCCGTCCTCCGTGCCCTGCGAGCCAGCTCCGTCTCGTTCTCCCACTGCGGGCAGGGACAGGAGGGTGGGGGGCAGACAGAGCGGATTTGCTACTTGCCAGCTCTGCGGCTTTGGACAAACCATGCAATGAGTGTGCGCCTCGGGCTCCTCCTCTGTCAGATGGGGATACACATGCCTACCCTCCTCCTACGGGGAAGTTACGCAGGTAAAACGGGACAAGCAAAGCGCGGACCCTCCTTCCACAGGTGGAATACAATGAAGGTGGTGCCACCCTCACCACGGCCGGCACCAGCCCGGTGGAGACGGCGGCGGCAGCCGGGGAATCGGTTCCAGGCCCCCCC